ACAAAAAAAAACAACAACTCACTTTTCCAAATCTGTAGATGGCACGTTCAACGAGAAAGCAAACGAACACCAAAACAGTGACAACAGAAGCAACAGAGTAAGTTGGAGTCTCAGCAAGAGACCTCCCTTCTTTCATCATATGTTCCATCTCCCGGAAAAGTTTGAGAAGTGATCTGCATCTGTGTGTGTGATTAGCAGGGAATGAATAATAATGTTTTAGCTTTTATTATTTTTTTCTTTTTATTCATTTAATTTAGAAATAAAATAAACAAGTCAAAGAGGAGGAGAAAGCTCATGGAATGCTGTACCAAGTAGAAACCACCGCACATGGCTCTGCTTCCTCTTCCTTCTTCTTCTCCAACGTCTTTCATTAATGCCTCTCATGTGCTTTTGTCTTAAAAGTCGTTATATAGGTTTTAATAATGCACAAAACTGTCCCTGACCGACCGGTTCAACCGCTTAATCCCCAACCTGATAAACTAAAATCCGGTTTGGTTAATGAGTATGATTGATTTGTTAAAGAACATTGTAATAACTTTTCCAGTTTCGGCTCAACATCCTCACACCATCTTTTTCCGGTAGACTAAGATTCAGGACTTGACCGACCGGTTCAACCGGTTATTCCACCATCTGGTAATAAAAATCTGGTTCGAATGTCTGGATGCTGAGCATGAAGGAAGACTGAAAATGCTGAAACTTATGTGACTGTTGGTTGATTGTGAATAAAAGGTTATATAGATTTTGTTCATGAATGTCTCTCTTTTTTGTTTTATTACTCGGTGGTAATAAGGTACCTAATGATATACGTTGTCTTTCTCTATATATTTGTATGAGATGAAGCAACACTACTGCTTCAGTAGTTAGTAATATTGAGACCAAAAGCTACAAACAGAGTCTAATACTAGCTTTTGAAAGCAATGAGCTAACAGTGGCGAGCATCTGGCAAGTGAAAGATTACAAGTTATGCAGTTTGAAAGTTTGTTAGAGAGCTCCAAAAACGAAATTAAAAAAACAATTAAAAAGCGACCACAGTGGGAGTCGAACCCACGACCTTCTGATCCGAAGTCAGACGCGCTAATCCACTGCGCTATGCGGTCATTGAATATTCATTGCATATCGTGGTTACTATCATTTAGATTTTGTAATCCAATATTGAGATCAAAGGAGCAATGAAGATGATGCAACAAAGAAATGCCAACCAATCAAAAGCCTTTAAGCTTCACAAGAATGACAATAAACAAACTTTAAGCGAAAGAAGACAATTCTATTATTCACATCAACAATCATATAGAACAGCTCACTCTAAGAAGCAACTTAATAATTTGTATAAAGAAGCCTAAATGTGTTAAAATATCACAACTTGTAAAAGCCTCAAGCTCTCAACTCGTGAAACCTTATATACAAGGATGAAAAAAGAAAAAGTGAATGTCACGAAACTCAAACATTCCAAAACCTCTATGTATGCCCAAGAACAATCTTTCACAACCTGATAAGCCATTGATCGTTGTTCTTCACTCAACTCCTTAGGAAAATTAACTAAAAACGTTATTTTCATATCTCCACGTTTACCATCTTCTTTATCATTATGTATTCTCCTACAAATATTGACATTGACTCAACACTTAACAGCGGCACCGAGAGTTTGCATCCCATCAGGGCCGGAGCTGAGATTTTGGGGGCTTGAAACATTTCTTAAGAACTCTAAAAATTTTGGGGGCCAAGGTCAATGTTTAGGGATTTATTCGTAGGTTAAAAAAATTTAAAATTTTTGGGGACCTAGGCGAATGTTTCGTCCGCCTATGTCCAAATCCGGCCCTGCATCCCATTAAGGCCTTTATTAATCTTTTCAACGGTTACGGTGTTTTGCAAATACCTTTATTAATCTCAGAGTATTTAGAATCATTTTTTTTTTCAAATTATTATTGATCGTTTGTTTAGCAAAAAAAAAAAAATACTAATCGTTGTAAATTCTTTTTTTTTTTCCCATGTTACGTTGCTTTCTTACAGCAGTAATGAAACGTGGTCATAATAGAAAACAGAATATATTATCTTCATCGTCAGACAGTGTTGGCAGTTGCAAGTGGGGACAAGCTCTGAGTTTCCACGTTGCTTCCAAAAGTCAAACAGATCATAGCAGCCTCTTTGACCAAACCCCCACAACGAATCCAACTTTTTGTTCTCATCTCCCACTTTCATGTCTAAATCAATCACTCACACAAACCTCAGATTCTCCATAGCCAATCACAAACCATGGCGAAACAGAACCTCCGCTACCTTCTTCCCCTCCTCTTCACCTTGGTGGCTCTCTCAACCTCCGCTCCATCTCCGTCACCGTCGCCAACTTGTCCTCTAGACTTCAGCCACGTCACGAGAATCCCATGGAACACAACAGACTGTCTTAACTACGACAGATCAACCGAGAGAAAAAACAGCTGCTGCCAATCAGTTCTAACTCTTGTCGGAATCCCTATGGCTCACCGTCTCAAACAAACATCAAACTTCCGTCTCCCCAACCTCGCCACCTCTGTTTCCTGTCTCAACAACCTCGAGAAGAACCTCAAATCCCTCTCTCTCCCTCCCAACCTCACCTCCATCTGCTTCGATCCGAACCAGTTCGTCATCAACAACGAGACTTGCGCAGGAATCCAAACCACCAAAGACTGGATCTCCCGTCTCGGATCCACCACGGCTCTCGACTCCGCCTGCGCCACTGGCTTAACCGATCTCACCCGCTGCGACGCTTGCGTCGCAGCGGGCCTTCGTGTTCAGACGCAGCTGATCACTTTGGATGGTAACAGCTCTCACGGTGTTTACTGTTACCATTTCGCTGTTCTCTACGCTGCTGGCATCGTTAACAAGAACGGACCTGAGGGTGATGACGCTTTGTCTTGTCTCTTCTCCTTGAGCTTGAGATCTCCTTTAAGCTCAAAGAAGAAAAACCACACTGTTGTAGCTCTTGTTTTAGGCTTAACCGGTGCTGGTCTCGCGGTTCTGGCTATTACCGGTTTGTATCTACGATTCGGTAGAGCGGTTAAGAGAGGAGAAGGTGGTTGGGAGGAGCAAGAGTCTAGACCGAAGTGGAGACCGAACACCGGTTCGATCTGGTTCAAAATCGAAGAGCTCGAGAAGGCTACAAACAACTTCTCACAGAAGAATTTCATCGGTCGAGGCGGGTTTGGTTTTGTTTACAAAGGCGTTTTACCGGATGGTTCGGTTATCGCGGTTAAGAAGGTGATAGAGTCTGAGTTTCAAGGAGATGCGGAGTTTCGTAACGAAGTTGAGATCATTAGTAATTTGAAACATAGGAACTTGGTTCCTCTTAGAGGTTGTAGTATGGTTGATGATGAGAGTGAGAGTCAGAGATATCTTGTTTATGATTACATGTCTAATGGTAATCTAGACGATCACTTGTTCCCTCGGGGCGAGACCCCGAAGACACCGTTAACATGGCCGCAGAGAAAGAGTATTATTCTTGATGTAGCTAAAGGGTTGGCTTACTTGCATTACGGAGTTAAACCAGCTATATACCACCGTGACATTAAAGGTACTAACATATTGTTAGACGTCGAAATGAGAGCGAGGGTTGCGGATTTTGGATTAGCTAAACAGAGTAGAGAAGGAGAGTCTCATCTCACTACTAGAGTAGCGGGTACACATGGCTACTTGGCTCCAGAGTACGCGTTATACGGTCAGTTAACCGAGAAGAGCGATGTGTATAGCTTCGGTGTTGTTGTGTTGGAGATAATGTGCGGAAGGAAAGCTCTTGATCTGTCTACTTCTGGATCACCAAACACGTTTTTGATAACGGATTGGGCTTGGTCTTTGTTGAAAGCTGGGAAGGCAGAGGAAGCTCTTGCGTCGTCTTTGTTGAGAGACGGGATGTCGAATCCGAAAGGGATTATGGAGAGGTTCTTGCAAGTTGGGATTTTATGTGCTCATGTTTTGGTTGCTTTAAGGCCAACGATATTAGATGCGTTGAGAATGCTTGAAGGAGATATCGAAGTTCCTCCCATTCCGGACCGACCAGTCCCGCTCGCGCATCCTTCGTACAGGATCGATGGGAACGGTTTCACTATATCGCCTGCACTTAGTGGGCTACAAATACATTCTGGAGATATGCTTAGATAAAATATTAGAATAAGGAAACTTTTGTGTGGAGTTTGGATTTGTTTTGTAAATAGTTTGAATGCAAAGATTACAGTGTGTAAATTACATGACCTTGTAGAATTTAATATAATATAGTTTCCATAAACATATTGAAAAGCTTAGTTTAGGTGTTTCTGATGACTAGAGGGGGATAGGCTGTGCAAATGCAAAGCTGTTTAAGGAACTTGCATTCGATGCAGCCTATGCAGTATGCAATGCACCACAAGTGGCAGTGGTCCGTGCTCACTGTTTGGCCTCTAGCACCAGCTGTGATGTAAAAATCTGCAACCATCACAATTTGCTTTTTATGTATTTTAGAAAAAATATTAATTATTGTTTGCATATATTTTTAACATTTTTAAAATTTGGATTCTAATTATTGTTTGCATATATTTTTTCTTCAAAATTTTGTTAATCTATTTTTAACATGATTTATTTTCTATATGTATTAAAATACACAACAAAAAAAATCCATAAATACATAATTCGAATTGAATAACAATGAATTTCAGCTACTATTTAAAGATTTTTAACGAATGACAAAAAATTTAAAACCATTTTATTCCATAAAACATGCTTTTAAATGATTTGTAAAAAAATTTTCCGTGCACAGATTTGTAAATTCTTTAAAATATACTAATAATCAATGCAAATGACATTAATATCTAAAATCAGAAGTAATTAGTTCGATCATATATCACGAACCTCAACTACATTTTTTTTTTTTGGATCAAAACCTCAAATACATTATATTATGCAATTTCTTATTTAAAAAACATGGAAACAACGGCCATTGCCTTTGCTGCTGCTCTCTTCTTCAACTAGAAAGAGATCTCACGAGCTCTGTTAGTTATTATTCTTTTATTCCCAAAATACCCTTCTTTCCATTTCTCACCTAAAATCTCCCCCAAAAATTTGCAAATTCAACGACGATCTCGTCGGCGATGATGGAGAGAACGTACGGCCGCCGCAAGCCGGGTCTCCCGCCGAGAACCCCATCAAACTCCCTAAACGACACCGTTTCACAGACGGAACACCTCTCCTCCTCTTCCTCCCCAGACATCGAAGAACCCTTTGACTACCCACTCGCTCCTTTCTTCAGTCAAGAAGAGTCGTCCACTTACGGAGGCGTAGCACGGAGGGAGAAGAGAGCGAGGAGCCACCGTGAGGCTCTAGCTTTCACTTCCACGTTGCTCGAGGCGCAGGAGTTTGGTGAGCTGATGGAGAACGAGGACGAGGTTAACTTCGCGCTCGATGGGTTGCGGAAAGGGCAGCAGGTGAGGGTCAGGAGGGGTAGCTTGTCGTCTTTGCTCGCGATTTGTGCTTCTCAGCATCAGCGTCGCTCTTTGAGAGCTCAGGGGTACCGCTTGAGCACATTTAGGGTTTGGTTTTGTTCAATTTTATCATAAATTTTGCGAATTGTTATGTGGGTTTTGAGAAAAGGATTTGCTTTTTAGGTCTTCTGGATTAGGAATTGATTTGATCTTTGTGATTTTATGCAGGGGATTAAGGCTTTTGAATTGTAGAGAACTATTGGCATTTCTTGTAGGTTTTTGTGAACTAGAATGGTGTATTATAGGATAGGGTTTGTATCATTATGCACTCCAAATAAGGTTTTGGGAACATGTGTAGTTAGTTCCTCTCCAAGGACTGGAAGTTTTGTGAATTAAAGTGGTATATTATATGATAGGGTTCGTATTATGATGCACTCCAAAATAAGGTTTTGGGAACATGTTGTAGTTAGTTCCTCTCCAAGGACGGGAAGGTTTGTTGTATTGGTCTCATTAGTTAATTCAATGGTTGAGTTGATGACAAGTTTTGAGATGGATGCGAGGATTATGAAATCTCTCCAAACAAAATTTAGCCTAATTTTGTGGTAATTTATTGTTTCAGGATCTCCCAATCCATAATTGATGCGATTTTGAGTCTTAGCCTTGATGATATACCAAGCAATCTTGCGGCAGCCACCCTTTTCTTTGTGCTAACTGCTGATGTAAGTTACTAGCAGATGGTGTTTGGTCTTTGATTCACTACAGTTTCACCTTTTCTTTTTTATCTAACTCTGCCAATTAATTGCATGATTACAGGGTCAAGACGAGCACTTTATGGAGTCACCCAAGTGCATCAAGTTTCTGATTAAGTTGTTGAAACCTGTAACTGCTACTAGCACCCAAGGGAAGCCACCGAATATTGGATTTAAGCTCTTATCGTTGCTTAAGGATGTTGATCCAGCACGGGATGCAGTGAAAATGAATGATCCAAGCTCCAGCGTTATACTATCAAGAGTTCAAGAACTTCTTGTTAATTGCAAGGAAATGAGATCTATTGATGACAGCTATAAAGCTGAAACAACCAGACCTAAACTAAGTGCGAAATGGGTAGCTTTGTTGACTATGGAGAGGGCGTGCTTATCCAAAATTTCTTTTGATGGTATTTGGAATTCTTTTGCCTCTTTTGTTGGAAATAATGTCTAGCGAACTATTTCCGAGGTCATCTTAGAATTGATAAAAATAGATAATAGATAATGTTCTCTCCAGTGATTTATTTTGCTTTATCTAGATTCATTATACCGTTGATTTTACTGTGATCCTTTGTCTATTGTTAATCATTTTGTATTTTCCCACCCAGATACTTCTGGTTCTGTGAAAAAGACAGGAGGGAATTTCAAGGAGAAATTGCGAGAACTAGGAGGACTTGATGCAGTCATTGAGGTTGTTGTGGACTGCCACACTGTAATGGAGGTATGAGTCTGCTTGTCCTTTTCATCTGCACCATAATAGAATACAAAATTTGGTCTCTAACTGCCTAGGACGTTGATGATATGTATAAATAATCTTAGATTGCTACCTTTGTAACCTTAATTGTGTTTGATTGCGGGGAGTTTGCAATTGCATAATGTTATATTCAGCGAGAGAATCTAATACAGATTCTATTTGCAGCGCTGGATGGAATATGACTCACTCTCCGTCCAGGATAAGAAGGATAACCAGCATAAGCAGAGTCTAATGTTGCTCTTGAAATGTCTGAAAATCATGGAGAATGCTACATTCCTCAGCATAGACAACCAGGTATCTCTTATGTATTGATTGCTAGATTCATGACAAATTCTGTAGATTCTGATGTTAATCAGCTGTTATCAAGTTGCAGTATATATAACTCAGTATCTGAGATAATATTAACTGTGACGCTAATTTTGTTTGTCAGAACTTTTTGCTCGGATTTAAGGAATGCTTGAGTTCTCATGAATCTCGAATGTCGTTCACAGAGCTCACGATAAGTGTCATCAAGATACTTTCAGGTTCGCAATTGATACCATGTTTGGTTTTGAACACATTTTGACTTCTTCCCGTTCTATCATCTCTTAACCTGATAGCTGTTTGGATTGATGGCTAGGTCTTCACTTACGTGGAGGGTTTTCAAGTCCTCACAGGAACAATGTAAATCCTCACTGTTCATATGGTGATATCTTGGGAGCAGATCTTAGAGGTACTTATTTTTTCAGTTCCAGATGAGTCTCTGTCCCCTTCTTATCTCTGTATTTTTATATGTTAAGCCACTTCTCTTTTTCAGTTAACGATCAAGTCGTGACAATCAGTTCAGATACAAGCTCAGATTTTGGCTCTATCTCTACGAGGAATGGGAGTGTATCTCAGAGAAGCCATACCGTAATCGATTTAGATTCATCACCGACATCAATGTCTGGTTCTCAATCAAGTGTTTCAGGAAATGAGCCCACTACGTCAACAACAAGACTTGGTTCCACCATCTCTGGTTCGTTTGCAGGCAGATTGGCATCATTAGGTAGTGACATTGCTAGAAGTACTTCAAGGACTAGTCAAGTTGGAGAACCAAGTTGTAAAAGAAATGGAAACTTTTCATTCACAGAGGAAAACGAAGATCCTTTTGCCTTTGATTTAGAGGATTCTGAACCTTCCAAATGGGCATTAGTATCTGTAAAGCAAAAGAAATCTGGAGCTCAAAAGAAGAAAGGATGTCACAAACAAAGTAAAGATGAGTGTTTGTATCAGCCTCTCTCGAGCCAAGAGGAATCATCAAACCATAGGGTGAATTCCCAGGAAGAAACAAGTGACAGAGACTACAGTATATCTCAGCAAGTATCTTATTCTTCTACAAATGACATTGATGAAGAATGTCTCTGTCTTTTATCTGATTGCCTTCTAACAGCCGTTAAGGTAATTTCCTTAAGTCTTTTAACGTTCTCTTTGCAGGTACGTAGCTCGAATAGCATCAATTTAGTTCAATGATTATTAATTTGCAGGTTTTAATGAACTTAACAAATGATAACGCTGTGGGTTGTCGGCAAGTTGGTGGGTGCAGAGGGCTGGAAAGCATGGCTGAATTAATTGCCAGACATTTTCCTTCTTTCACCGGATCTCCGCTTTTCAGTGAGATAGAAAAAACAGAATCATCCCATCAGAAGAAAGTCAAACATCTTACAGATCAGGAGTTAGATTTTCTCGTTGCCATCTTGGGTTTGTTGGTAAATTTGGTGGAGAAAGACGGTGTGAACAGGTACAAAACTTCTTGCAGCAAGAAATCAACACTAAGTCAATAGAAATTGAACTAGTCATACTCTATTTGTTTGTAGATCACGGCTTGCTTCAGCGAGTTTTGCTATTACAAAACCAGAAGGGTTGCAAGAGAATGAACAGGAGATGATTCCTTTATTTTGTTCGATCTTTCTCACCAATCAAGGATCAGCAGACACCAAAGAAGAAACAACTACTTCCACCTTAGTGAGTAACAACATCTAACTATTTTTTGCTCGTACTTTGAGATCCATAGAAGAAGATCTTATTTTATTTATTAAAACTGCTTTTGTGGTGTTCAGGATGACGAAGAAGCTGTTTTAGAAAGCGAAAAGGAAGCAGAGAAGATGATTGTGGAGGCATACTCTGCTCTACTACTCGCGTTTTTGTCAACTGAAAGGTCCTTTTCATTTCCAGACGTATTAATGTTATATAATATATCTAATCTTTCAAGAAACTAAACATGTTACTGGATTCACTAGCAGTACAAGTATACGTAACTCCATCAAAGACTATCTCCCGAAACGCAATCTCGCAATTCTTGTACCGGTCTTGGAGAGATTTGTGGTATGTGCCTCTTTAACGTACTTTTGACCGATCTTCTCGAGATCCTTTAATATAACTGTGTTTCTATGTTTTTTTCAGGCATTTCACACGACTCTAAACATGATCCCTCCCGAGACACATAAAGCAGTGATGGAAGTGATTGAATCCTGCAAATTACCGTAAAAAAAAAAAAACGAATAGAAAAACAGCAGATTAGTTCTTCATTCGCCTTCTTCTCTGTACAGCTGCAAAAGAAAAACTTGGAATGTTTTGGGGTGATCACTGACTCTGGAGATCATATACTGTGATTCATAGTGATCATGTTGATGTATAATATAAGCCTAGTAGCCTACACGTAGTATGTTAGATTTTTCATTTTTAGAGTTTAATCACGTTGTCTGTCTTTTTCTTACACACTCCATTCTTTTGTAGTTTTCTTTATACCCTTAATCATATATACAAGTTTGCTTTACGACATTATTTTACAGCTTGTTATATTACATAAAATGATTATACGAAACTTCAATCAGATTTTGCATCTTATTTTGGTCCACAGCTTCTCATTGTCATGCCAAAGAATCTGATTAGGAGCTCCCAGAAATGTACAACTACATTTTGTTTTTTTTTTTTGAAACACAAATTTCATTAAGAGGCAAAAACACAAATTTTTTTTTTTTGAAACACAAAAGAGATGAGATCAAAAGAGCTAGCTAAAGAGATAATATCAGCAGCAATTCCATACAATTCTGCATTTGGTAGACCAAATTTCACAATCTTGACCAGTGTCTCCGAGTCCGTCTCACATCTGATCCGTGGGAGGTCCAGCTCCCTGCATTTCAAAAGAGCTTCACGCACAGCAAGGGCCTCCGCCATGAGAGGAGATCGGACGTGGAAATATGGGATAGCGAAGGGAGAAGAACCCGAAGCTTGCTCGATCGTCCATCCAAGACCCACAAGCTGTCTGTTCTCGCTCCACGCTGCATCGGTTCTAACTACAACACAATGTTCTGAAAGTTGTTGCAGAGGGGATTTCTTTCCTTGCAGAGGAGGTTTTACCTGGCATTGGATCCATTCTCGAGCTGCCGCCACTGCTCTGGAGATGATATCTGATGCAGAGCATCGTTTATCACTAAAGATCAGATTGTTTCTCTCAATCCAGAGTTGCCAAATAATCCATGGGAGGAGGGATCCCTCTGTTACGCCCGAATGGGGGAGATTCTTCCTGGTTAATAACTCAGGCCAAGCCGACTTCAGCTCCATTGATCCGTTGTAAGGGGGGCTCGGTGAGAGAGGGGCGAGGGCCCATACATGTTGCGCAAATCTGCAATGGAGAAAGATGTGATCAATCGATTCAGGGAGGCCACAGCTTTTACACTTTCCATCAACTGCAATGTGTCTAGCTAAGAGTTGGTCCCCTGTTGGCAAAGCACCGTGAAAAGTTCTCCATAGGAGGAGTTTGATTTTTGGGGCGGTATGGAGGTTCCATACACCTTTCTTCCAGTTGAAAGAGGGGTTCTGCAACACTGTTGGATCAAACTCGGGGAGTGTGGCTCTAGCGGCAACATATCCTGATTTTGTGGTGAATTCACCTGAGTCATTTTGTAACCAAATGAGCTTATCGGGGGCCCCCGTGAGGCTTGGTTTGAGAGTTAGTATATCCCGTTCATGGAACGGTAAGACCTGTCGAATTTTCTCGAGGCTCCATTCGTTTTTCCCATCAATAAACAGGTCTGAAACAGTTAAGTTCATTGCTGCTTCAGGTGCTGGTCCAAGTGGTCTGACCTGCGAGGATAAACTTAACCAAGGGGAGTTCCAGATGTTAATATTCGAGTCATTTCCCACAGCCCAGCCGGAGTTGGCTAGGATCATGTCTCTTCCCAACATTATTCCCCGCCATCCATGGGAGCAGGACGAACTTAGAGAGCAGGTGAGGAAGGGTTCGTCAACGCAATACTTGCCTAGCAAGATTCGTGCTAGCAAACTTTCAGGTTGATTAAAGATACGCCAACTTCAACTACATTTTGTTTTGAAGTTCACTTCTGATTGTCAACTTTTGTCTTTGTATTTTCTACAGAACAAAGAGAATGCCTATAGAAATCGGACCAATTAGCTTTACTTCGAGGAAGGAAAAGATTAGGGGTTTTGCTTAGAAATTATTGTTTTAAACAAAAAAAAAAACACAATTACGTTTATAAATGAACTTATTTTACAAGAAAAAATATTGACAAGAGTTTTATGAATAGCATGTGATTATTATCCAGGAAAGACACAAGAAAGGCACATGAAGACACTTGTATGTGCCTTACTTTTCAGAACGAAATCACCCATACAATGGTTTTTACATTTATAGCAAGTTGGCCGAGTCAGACTGTCGTTGGGAAGCAATTCAAATGTTTCGTAAACTATCTCTAAAGTGTAACCAGGTATTAGATGTAATAGATTTTTAAATACGCATTTAGTATGAAGAATGGAGTTACAATCACTACACCAGTAAAACCCTCTCTTAGGGAATACTTCCTCTTCGCATACACCGCACCAATATATTGAATTCACATTTCCCTCACCATAACATAAGGAGAGAGGATGGTCATCATATTTGTGTCTTACCGGCGTGGGTAGAGTAGCGCATGTGAAGCATAAATTGAAGTCTCCACAAGCACCATGATTAATGCATCCAAAGTAGGTCCAAATTGCCGAGTCACAAAGTGTACACATCTTTCGTGTCGCATCATCACCATATGTATTGGTAAATGGGAACAACCAATGTGGATGGATTTCATGTTTAAATGCATCAGTAATTGACGCACAACGCACATCAATCTGTAAGCGCTTATTAGCATACGAGAAACCATTGCAATAACGGTCGCAAGCATCACAGATAAAACAGTTGTCATTACATTCATAAAAGTAGTGGTGATAAGTAACTTGAGCCTCTAAATTAAGTTGGTGTCTGCTGATCGGGTGCCTTTTTCGCAGAGGGAGATTAGCGCATGCATCGTGGAGTATGAAATCACATTGTGTACATCTGTAACACCTTTCAGAATTAAAAGAAAGGGTGCACGCATAGCATTGTTTATCTTCTTGGAGTCCTAGTGAAACCTCCAGATTGTGTTGATGGCTAAAATGTTTTAGGTTTTGATCTATCACTTCAAATGGCTTATCTTCTTCTTCTTCGGGTATCCCTTCCAGTTCTCTCCCATCCCAAATAAATTGATATGTTGCACACTTTGAATGAACAGCATAAGAGCAAATCATGCAAGAATATGCTCCATAATCTCCAAGAACAGGCTCATGGCATATACCACAAATCCAGCTCCCAGGTCCAAGAGAAGAAACATGAGAGACGCGGTGGTCGTGGCGGTTGATACATATAACACGTGGTAAGGAGATGCATTTTCTATGGATTATGAAACAACATTGATGACAAATACACGGGTAGCCTGAACTGCACAACCCACATGCATCACAGGTGAAAGAAATCTCCATCGGTATTTGGTGGAGTTCATGCTTGTGGGACTTAGGTTGGTTGAAGATCAGAGGCTTTCTCGCACATGGTATACATATACCAAAATCACATTGTGAACATTGATACAGCGGTGAATCATCCATCTGACATAGATAGCATGGACGAAGATCATATGTTCCGGGAGAGCTTATGAGCTTGAGATCAGGGTGTCTATGACGAGAAGGAATGTTGAAGTTGAGGCATTCTTCGTGGACATAAAAATCGCAGAAATCACATTTGCCGCCTTGTTTTTTGTCATCTTCTTGGTAACATGCATTGCATTTTGATGAGATTTTTGTAGACTTTACAGGCTCACCGTGACGGGGGCACTGAAAATCCATCTTGTACAGGGTTGACATGTTGAACTTGGGTCTTTTTCTTGAAATTCTTTGGGAAATTTTTTCAGCTTCTGTTTTCTCTTTTTTTTCTTTTTTGTCTTTCACACAAAGATTTGTTGTATATTGAAAAGAAGAATAGGAAAACAAAGGAAGAAGAAGTGAATTAATTATTTTCTATGTGGTTAGTAGAATATATATATATATAGTTATCAGTTTGTCTTGAATTGGTACATTAGATTACTTACTTTGATAATCAAAAATAACAGATAACTTTACTTCAAAAGAGAATCGAGTCTCTTGCCTATTGAATAAAGAGAATCGAGTCTTTTGCCTATTGAATAAAGAGAATCGAGTCTCTTGCCTATTGAATAAAGAGAATCGAGTCTTTTGCCTACTGAATGACCCCATATAAATCATTATTCTTGCCCCGATAAGAGAATATATAATGTACTATTTATTTATATATAAATTTAGAAAGACCATTGCCATTAGTAACTTGAGCACTACACATATAAATGGGAGAACCAATACATATGCTAATTATGACTTAGAAAAATTCCACAAACGGTTACTTCCCAGGCCAACTGCTATAACTCAGCTGAATGGCAAGAGACTGAGTGAGAGCTAGAACAGGCGAATGTGGTTTTGTACAAAATTTTAGCTCAAATGTTTAGCGTATGTGAGGTTGAATGTTTTCTTTCATCTTTTATATTTAGAATTTTGTATTTTTTTTTTCTTCTTATTAACTTGGTGCGCTTTGCTACTGTTTGCATCGATTCCTTCTTCATTTTTTGTTGATTCGTCTGTTTTTTTTTCTACACATTAATTTCATGTTTGGATGAATTAATTGATTTCGGTTTAGGCTATTTCCCTTTTTCTTTTAGATTTTAATCATGCTGTCTGTCTCAGCTATCTTTTACTTACACACTCGATTCTTTTGTAGTTTTCTTGATACCCTTAAATCATATATACAAGTTTTCTCTACAACATATTTCCTACAAATTGTTATATTACATCCTGAAATGATTATATGATGTAAATAAACGATAGTATGAATTATCTACATTTTGGTGGTGTATATAAATGTCAGATTACGTGATGGTTTTCACACCACGTTAGAGTTATGAAATTTTAATCTATATTTGTTTGAAGATGTAAAAAAAGCTGGAAAAAAAACATTGATCTCATGGGGTACCTAAAAATTTTCTTGATATTATTGGTTTTTGAGGACTAATTCAATCTCACTACCCAGTTCTCTGGTAAGCTTATCAGCTCGGTCATCATGTCCACCAGCAAATGTATAAACTCTGTATGCAAAATTAAATGCTCTCCACAACGTTTTAGCCAATCCTACAGTCTTATTCTTGATCATGCTCCGCTTTGACTTGCTTGATTCTGCAGTATGCGATGCACTCTTTGCTTCTCTTTTTTCCTGTGTGTTTAAAACCAAGAGATTCCATTTAATAGGGTTTTGATGAAATGTATGTTTTAAAGGTTCTTTTTTCTATCTCTTGGAGTTAGTCTCCTAACCTTTAACGCAAGTTCAATGCAACCTGACGAGATATCAACCATTGATTCCTTGATCCGTGTAAGGACACTGAAGTCAAAATGAATATTATGTCTCTTGAGCTTCTTTTCCTCTTCTGCTTTAATCTGGTCTAGAGTTTCAATCTCTCTTCTGATCTGTTTTTATCCAAGCATTACTCTTCAGATAAGTTCAGCTACTTGGAAGAAGAAACAACCAAGAAAAGAAGGCCAAGACACTTATGAGTTATGACTTGCCTTTGCAAAGAAACGTTCAGTCTTGTCAAAGAGTAGGTTCGCAGGAGACTCAATCTTCCAGTTCTTGAGCTCGTCGATCATACCTTGCAGCTTTGAGTGCAACGCAGAAGCCATTCTTATAGTATCGAGTTTATCCTCAGGGAACCCTTCACATCTCGCTAGCACCTAACCAAAGTTCAAACATCTTACATGTCATCAAAAAATTCATAACGTCACATCTTGATCACTCTTGTTGTTGTTGTCACGTACCCGTCTTTCATCTGTTAGTTTCTCAAGCACTGATTCTATATACCTGTGGAATCTCTGAAGCTCAGTCATGTCCTTACTCTTGAAAGTGGAGATCTCTGTTTTGAGCTCATTGATTGCTTTCATATACATTTGCACATCCTCTTCTATTTTCTGAAAGTAAGGTGACCTGTGTAGCCATAAAACATACATAAAGCCAAGTATCAGTGTTTGACCTTTTGTTGTTTTATAGAATTGTAATGTGGTTTTTACTTCTTTGTTATCTCAGCAAGAGCATCAGCCATTCCTTGCTTTCCATCAACGCCTTTGCTTCCTCCTCCCACTCCACGTGATCTTGGTTTTGGATCCTTCCCTTCGATTTTCGCCTTGAGGAATCTGTACATTTCGCCTAGTTTGGTTGATCTCTTCAGTTTACTAGTTGCTTTCTTGGCTCCCAAGCAAAGTGGCGGTGGTGGTGGCGGGCCCCCTGGTCCTTTTCCTGGCGCCATTGGATGTGGCTGTGGTGGCAGTAGTGCTGCAACCCCTGGAGGTGGAGGAAGTGCAGCTGGTACTTTTGCAGCAGTTACTGGAAATGGCTGTGGTGGCAGTAGTGATGCATCTTCAGGACGTAGAGGTAGAGGTAGCGCAGCTGGTCCTTTTGCAGCACTCTCTGGATGTGGAGGAGTTGGGGCCAAAGGTTCAAGAACCTTTTCAGATTTCTCTGAACGTTTTGAGTAGCTTTTATCATCAGTCTGACTCTTAGCACTATCTTTGTCCTCATCAATTGCTTCATTTGCTTTCTCCATTTTCTGAATTCTCTCTGTTTCACTCCTCTGCTTCTCCTTAACATCATTGTTCTGAGCTTCTTTCTTCCACATATTTTGTTGGATAGTGAATCTCCTCACCTCAACGGGACTCAGTATTACAACCGCCTGCATCCTCACATTTCTTGGAAGGTTTGAAACAGAGAATTCAATGTCTCTTGGTGGATGCAGCACTGTTTTTGATGTGATCGGTTGCTTCATGACTGTTTTTGATGGTGATAAGGTTCGCTTGCTAGGTGTTTTACTCTGAGGAGGAGTAGTAATCTTTTGCTTCTTTTCCTCATTGTTGATCTCAGTCATGTTGAGCATCTCGCTGCTCTCAGTAATCAGTCCATCTAATGCAGCTAAAACGTTTCCCACTGCAAGAAACCAAAATCAAGAAACTCAATAAAGTCCCACAACATGGTTCTTAACTTCTTATCTATATATTTTTTCTTACATTTTTCTATCCGGCAATGTGTTAGTCGACGCCTTAGCAAAGAAGTTACTTCTTGACTACACTCCACACCTGTAGAGTTTCTTATTTAATGAAATAGTTTATTCAGAAAAAAGAGTTGCATATACTCATAAAACTTTTTGGAATGCTTTACCAAGTCCATCAGAGAGATTCTTCCTAATGTTAATATTGTTCCGGTACTTGGATTTGATGATCCATTCCTTGTCATCAATCCATGAATCTCCAATTGATTTCAAAGTGTTGTAAAATTGGTCAAGCAACTGTTGCAAGACCATGTTTGATCAGAGAAAACACAAGTTGGTTAACGTAACTTAGGCATGAGATGAGTTCTGCATGGATACCTTATCCGTATCTACATGTTTTATATCCAAGAGACACGAGCTTTCAACAATCTCAGGACAAAGCCTATGGAGATCCTTCATCGTGCGCATCACCATCTAGCAATAACACCCCCAACCATAAAACAAAGACAAACAAAAACGCATAAAGGGATCAATTATATATGACGTATGAAACAAAAACAATTATATACCCACAAAGTCTGATAAAATGTTATTCCAAACAATCTTGAACTTACATTTGTTACGGAAAGATAACCGGTGAGATGAGGAAGGTCAATGATGCCTCGAAATGTTATAATCTTCCTTCGAAGCTCGAGCATGTGACTGAAATTTCCTGCCCATTTGTCACAGTTCGAACTTGAGATCTTTGTTGGTTCTCTGTGAGCATTTTGTATATCTTCAGCTAACGAAGCAACACGTCTTGATGTTTTTTGGCCAAGGGATGGAGATGATCTAGACGCGGCCATGATAGATGATGGTGGAGAAACCAAAGAAGGTGCAACATCTTGTTTGGTCTGATTACTTGTAACTGATGTCTGCCCTTTTACAGGATAAGTTCACAACAACAAACAAAAAAGTAAAGAAGAGAGATCAAATTAAAGTTTCGATGATTAAAAACGATAAACTGTGTTTATACCTCAAGTTTATAGGTTCTCACGCTCATCAACGGAGACAACGAGAGGGATGAAGTGTGTGAAGCTAATCAGAGTCTTTACCGAGGTATCTTCTAAAACGCTAACGCTCCACATCTATCAGAGGACCTAGAATGGAGTTTTTCATCTAAAATATGTATCAAGTTTTTGATCGGTTTATTTTTCTTGTTTGTATGAAAACTTTTTTTGTTTTAAATATCTTTCTCTTCTTATAATCCTATGACAGGACATGCTCTCACTTTTATCCAATTAAAATACACTGCATCTCCTCATAGATTTCCTGGCATAAGAAGATACAAACACAAATGGTACAACTGTTTTCTTTTATAAAGTATCCTAAAAGGAGAGGAATTGAGTTAAGTAGACTAGGTAAGTCTACTTTCTTTGTTTTTGGCAAATATTATTTTATTAAAATAAATTAAACGCTCAATTTATTTAATTTTCTTCAACTACAACCGGGGCTTCTAGCTCTAGTGGTAAAGGGCTTACAGCTGTTAGTACCGCCATCTGGGTTCGAATCCCGGCCACTGAGGAATTAACATTTCGGCATCGCCAGGGACAGAGGACCGACACGTGGCGACACGTGGCTAGTCTGGACCACTTATGTGGGGCCAGGATACCTCTGTATAATTCAAAAAAAAAAAAAAATTTCTTCAACTACGCCAGCAAGAGCCAAAAAAGAATTACCGTCTTAAAATATGCATGCTTTCCTTTTTTTTTCTTTTGTCGACTAGCTACTGCATGATTTACCTCAATACGTGTAAAGACAAAGTTGGTTATAAATTATAAAACGTTAAATTTAAAACTAAACGTAAAAAGGTGTCGGCGTATGCCTGTGATTTCTTTAGGAGTTGCTATTAAATTTTCCAGGATTTATAGGTTAAAGCAAAAATGGTAATTAAATAATTATTAGTTTCACTGTTATGAAATTTTTATATAAAAAACTTTTGGAGAAAATTAGGCTAAATATGGCCAATAAATACCCAAAACTCTCACTCACTCATCTTTCTCCACTTACACGAAGTCACGAACACAACGCTGTCCTGTCCTCTGTTATGGGTTGTTGCGTCAGCTCCCCCACCGCCGACAAGAAAGATGATCTCATCTCCGGCAAGAACACAGCACCTCCTCCATCCGTAGTTGAGGAAGAGACAGTAGTCAAAGAAGTCTTGTCCGAAACCACCTTGGTAACTGACAACACGACGTCGAACAAGATTCCGGAAGACAAGGAGAAGAAACCCGGAGATATCAACGTAGCTCCAGACCCTGGTTTAACCGAGAACGGTTTGGTTGAACCCGAAAAAGGATCAGAAGTTTCGAAAATTTGCAGTTTGAGTGAGAGTTTGCTTTCTATAGTGAATGGATGCAATGAAGAGGAAGTGAAACAGAGGAAACTGCATGGTGTGAGACAGAGATCTCCGGCGAAATCTCGGAACCGGGTCATGGTTCATAAATACCAGACTCGGAGAACTGATATGTTGCCACATAAGAGAAACACGAAAGAAGGAGATGAGGAAGCTGGCTCGGTGAGGCTGGTGCCTTTGGGTACGGGTGAGAGAGACCCAAATGAAAGATCCGAGAGGAGGAGGTCTAGATCGCCGGTGATGAACATGTCAGTCATGATGGGTCCGACTTGGGTGAGACCTAATGCGAATAAGAATGGGTCCGATCATCATCAGTGGCCGAGTTGCGGTGCAGCTGGTGGGAATGGCGTATCTATCCACTCGTTTGAGAAACCTCTTACTACGTTAGAGTGTTTCATCTTTCTTTGAGATTTTTATGGAAAATAATATTTGATAAGAATAATAGTCTCGAATTATATTTAATCAACATTTTTATTGATTTACTAGGAAACTATTTCGTATTCATGCACAAATAGTATCAATTAAAATACATAATTCCTAATCGTTGATTAATATTTTCATAAGTTTGAAATGGTTTTACAGTTTTTATGTTTGAAAAAAAACAAATTCTTAAGTAAACACTTATTTTGTATATCAACAATTTGTTTGGTTTAATTGTCTTTTGGATGTATAAGATTACACTTATTGCTCTTAATAAGAATGAGTTGGATCATGATTAGTAGCCGAGTTGTGGTGTGGCTGGTGAAAATGACGTATCTACCCCTACTGACTCGTTTGACAATCTTCTTTTTACTTTTATTTTTCTTTGAGATATTTAATGAAATGAATATGGGAATAATAATCTCCAACTATAGCCAGTGATTTAATCACTACTTTTATTGATTTATATATTTTGAAGTTACTCATCTATTCAATATTCATGAGTTTGGCTAGCAATTTCAGGATTTTTTAGTCGTGTTTCATCAATTGTATGTAGAACCTACTTAAGCTGGTATATTTTTTAAGTAATCGATCAAAAAATTGTACATAAAAATCATCTCTAGTGATTAACTTCATTTTTCTCTTCAATTTTTTTTTTCTTTTATAGAAAATGAATCAACATGTTAGCCAATAGCTTAATTTATTTTTTCTTCAAAACATATTCTAATAATATTCTATCATCATTTTATGATATTTTATAAAGTTTATTATCTACCCAACTATTTTATTTTAACATTAATACAACATAATTACTATTGATTTTAAGTTAAATATTATTATATGATACAATCATTATACATAACATAAATAAATAACTAGGCTCTTGATGGTGCTATCATGAAAGACACTAAATATTATTGTATATGCTTTTATTTCCAATTCACCCACAAATCCTAGACCCAAAATCTTGATCTTTATGTTAGAATCAACCTAGTTCCACATTTAAGAAAATGCTGAAAATGCCAAAAATATAATAGGAGACAAAATTTGGCCAACAAAAATTTGACTCGTATAAAGCTAGTTAGCTTCATATTTTATATTAGTATCGTTGTGTTGTCATCTTCATTAAATCTACAACCTGAATATATTATTATGGAATACTTAACATTCTAAAATATAAAAGGAAATACTTGAACATAAAGTTATTAACTTAGTTCGATCAAGTCGATGTTCATTTATATTGTTTGTCTAAGAGTTGTGTCATTGATTTAAGTTTATAGTATACATTTATATGTTGTATGTACAGAGTTCAATTGTTAAATCGAATATAATAGTTTTGAATTCCCAAGTTTAAAGTTTCTCATGCACATTACATTACAAAAATACATCAGTATCTATATAGCTATGTATTAGACAATTGATACTCGATCTTGCATATTGATATTCATTTGTTAAAGACACAGAGATATAATCAACTATAAAAAAAAACTGAAAATTGAGTATTATTTTCAAATTGTTTAATCTGTTCATATTTGTGCTATTCACAACTTACTCAAATCTCATAATTTAAAAAATTCTATCAAATTATGTTATCGTTTCATAGTTAGGATACTCAAAATCTTGTATAAAGATATATTGATATTCTTCAATTTGGTTACCAGTGAAGGTAGTGTCACTTTACTTTAGGTAGTTAGATTTTTTTAATGACAAAGATTTGATAACCTTTTTGTCTGGTAAATCATTTAATTTTTTTCCTCTTTCCATCGCAATTTATTTATTATATAAGCTCACTAGGGAAAAACCCGCCCTACGGGCGGGTAAACAATTAAAATATATTTAAAATGCTTAATTCATTTTCAACTAAATATAAAATTAATATTATATTTTTATCATGACAAATTTGTTGATTTATTTGACTATCTATTTTAGAATCATAATTTAAATAATATTTTTTTGAACGACACTTAAATAATTTTAAATTTTGATAATTTTCTTTTTTGTTTAAAAGTTTGTACTAATTGGACTCCAAGTGACATGTCATCTCGACTATTTTTAATAAAGAAACATCTAAGCAATAGTTGTAACCTTGATCCAAATATAATATTTTGTTTCTATATACTTGGTGGATTTTAGAATCCACACTATTATATTATATTGTCATAGTTAAAACATTTTTAAGTGTGATACGTTTTAAAAAATAGTCAATAAAGCATTTGAATGTATTTGATGGATTATACATCTTTTATATTGTTTTCAAATCTATAAAAATTACAATAAGTTAAGCATTAGATTATAACATCACATCCCTAAAAATGAGACATAGATAACATCAAACTTTATATATATAGCGTATGTCATGAATTAGGAATTTAGGTAATACAAACTTGTTTCTTATGATGTTTATACAGTTAAGGGGATAAACAGACCAGATGACCGAAAGACTAACACAACAATGGCGTGGTCATGTGATCAGGTTGTAGGAGAGATTCATTCTGCGGTTCATACGGTTGTTCACGGTAGTTCCTTGTTCGACACCTTGCCCACCGGGGAGATCAGACGGTCTAAATTGTCTGCAAATGATTATCTTGCGTTTCTTATTTAGATCATGTGTGTCTAACTTCTGCATAGAAAGTATCAAAAACATGTATTATAGTATTAGTATCACATTCTTCACCCATTGAAAAGATCTTAAGATCACCAATAAACAAAAAGAATAACAGAAGTGGGAGCTTTAGCATAGAAGTGGATAAATTATCATACAAACCAAGTTTTTTTAAATAAGCAGTTAAATACAGAAATCATCAAAATCGTATGATAACTGTGAGAGATCACATAATGCCACCCAAAGAGAAGCTTCCGTACAGTCAAAAGTTGTTTTAATGCATCTCTCTACACATTAGAATATCGGGCACAAATACTTAACATAATAAGATTTTTTTAGAATGATCTTTCTACATAAATCAAAGTAAATATCCAGAGATATGGCTGAACCTTTCTTGGATCTCATGGTTCCAGACTTTGATTTACATCCTTTCATTTGATTTACAAATTGAAAGGGCTAGGTACAAAAGAATTTCTAAGATGGGAAGAATCACTCACAATAGCAACAAATTTGTTCTTAGGTGCTCTTTCTCGAAAGTCTGACGGGAATCTTCCCTTCAGATCACCAAAAAATAGAACAACTCTAGTACTAACACATAAAGCTTAGATAGAAACAATAAGGGAAAACAAAAACAAAGAAAAAAAACAGAACAATCAAATCGATAGTAAAAACAAACAACAAATATAAAAGGTTTCGAGAACGATAATCAAAACGGAGATCAAAGATCTCGTTGATTTTACCTGAAGGTGTAGAGTTGAACAGAGGAAGAAGGGAGATTGTCTGAGCGAAACCAGCGCGAGCTTGTACATCTGCGGTTTCCGACTCCTAACACCGTAGCCGCCGTCCAAATCACTCTTCTTAATATCCGCTTGATTTTCTCAGTCATCAGAACATCCCAAGATGATCTTGCCTGTGGGGGCACAGCTTTGATTAGCCACTGTTTGGAGCGTGAGGATTTTGCTGTATGTAGGTTAGCTTTTTATAGCTGTTAATGCACCGCTTTGAAAAGAGGAAATCAGCACTGAAGGAGAATTTGTGGTTATAATGAATCGAAGGAGTTAAGAAAGGTATTAATGACAGTGAATCAAGTCATCCTGTAATGGCACATGGGAGACGAAACGATACTTACATATCGATCCAGTGAAGCTTCAACCTGATTCGTCTTGAATCATTCTCAAGAGACTCCATTGACGGAGATGAATGAGAACTCGAAGTTTTAGATGTCGTCAGTTCCAATTTTTTCAGAAAGTTAGGCTTAGGTATTATATTTTTAACAGCGCAAAAAGAAAAGATTGAAGCCCAACAATACTATGTGAACCCATAAGCAAAACGAAAGTAAAAGCAAAGAATCTCGTAAAGAAAAAGACACATGGCACAATTTCCTCTTCTGATTATCTGACGTGGCACTCTAATGAGGGAATCAACTTTCCTTTATATCTCTATAATATTATTTGAGAAGTCAGTTTTCTACATGTCGCGCTCACATTAACTCTCGCTATGGTTGATTACATAGATACCCTTAATGAATTGTTAGATTTTAAGATTATTATTAATTTTTTATTTAGTTTTCTTTTTACCTTTCTCCAAATAACATATAAAATAAAAAAGAAAGATTTCTAAAATTTTAAAACAAAATTAAAAACGAAAATATAGGTTTATAATATGACATTATTAAAAAGGAAAGTTCACAAAATAGTAATACTCTCATTAATATATATTTTTAAACAACATAAAATATATTTTCAAAATAATAAAAATATATATGTTCATGAACATTCAAAAATTTATCAATTACACTTTATTTTCTAATATTTTTTAGAAATCAACATGTAATTTGATAAATATTATGAAAATACATGTATATTTAATCAATAAATAAAACTAATTTGATTTGACTTAATGAAAATAAAGAGTAAATAAATATTAGGAAAATACATGTATATTTAGGTGATAAATAAAGCTAATTTGATTTGACTTAGCTAAAATAAAAAGTAATTATACTTCAATTGTAATTTAAAAATATATTTAACTCAATATACTCACAAAATGAATGAACTCGACTAATCTAATTTATGTCCAAATTAAACATCTAACTACAATAAGAACATACAATTTTATAATAATAAGAATAAGAATAAGAATAATCTATTTAATTTTATACATATAAATTAGAGGTTGACTCAATGCATATTAAAAAGAAAAAAGAAAATATTAACCAATTACAATTTAATTCATTTGTAGAATTTATATATATGCATGAGACTTCAAAATATTATCATATATTCATTTATGTAATTTTGAATCAAACACTTCAGCTTATTATTTATTTCATTTAAAGCACAATATATATTAAGTTATACATAATATAACTATAATATATTTACATATCTAAGACAATAACCAACCGAAATGAAAATAAAAAACTTGATCAAAGTTTTATTATATTTAGAATAAAAAATATTATAGCTGAATTCGAGAAATAGATATTATCCAATATACCAAATTGATAACCCAACCGACTATTGATCCAAAAAATAATTAAACCGACAATAATATATCCAAAATCATATGTATAATTAGAATAATAATATTTATTAATATAAATTATACATATAAATTTATTCAAAACTAAAACTAAATATCAGTCAATTATTATAAAATTTGACTTTTATGAATATTCATACCCGTGCATGAGCACGGGAAAATCACCTAGTATATAGATATTTGTAGAATCCATTGTAAAGATTTTTCTTTAAAAGCTTTCTTACTTGTCATTTTGTGCCCACACACTACATAAACTATTTTTCGAAGAAAGTTGAATAATCCAGTGAAACAAAGATGGTTTATTTACCGTTAATTAGCTATTAAAATTATTATTATATCATATTTTTTGTTTTGTTTCAAGTTTGTCAATGATTATGCATATTGTAAAACATAAACAGGATGAGACCGTAAGTTCTAGACCAAAATAATATACTCAAATGTGCATCATAGCACGTTATTATCTATTGATATGCAATATCGTTCCTTGAAGAAACCATAACTTTAATATGATTACCGTCTCTAGTAAAAACCATCTTTTATAATGGTTTTATATCGTGAGTTGCAGAGACTAGAGGACTAATACTGAATCAAAAAATGATAGAGCAGAAAATGCTGGGAGGGAGAATCAATAACCAAAGTTTGAACTGTAATGGTTTGAAAATGAATGAAACAATCGCCTTGGATCCTCTTGTTACCAATTTGGGCTTTACGATCATACTATAATCGACCACTTTGGGCCCGTATCTTCCTTGTCTAGGCCAGAGGAATGATGTTATTTACAGTCTCAACAAGCATATCGTTGTAAAGATTAGTGAAGGGTCTTTTTAATTGTCTACCAAAAAAATGAGTTTTAGGAAGTTAAGACAAACGAATATTAAAGTTAATCTCATCTCAGATTAAAGAATGTATAGCGTTGCCATAATGTTATCACTAAAAACAATGAAATACAATTTAAAAGTATATATTCCTAATAAATTCATGTGATTGTAAGTTGTAACTGTAAACACAAAACCTGAATTCTTTATTGTTATAGAAATTCATAGAAAACAGTAGTGTAATCATGAAACTACCTCTCGTTTACAGCACACACTTTAATAAATTTCAGTTTTAGTCACTTTATAAAACCAATAGTGAAATATACTAGCATTTAGTAATTGTAAGTTTTGGTATGGTCAGTGTTTCAACTTTGTAAGTTTTAAGTTTAAGTCAAGACCTCAACTATTAATATACAAAAGAGCAAACATGAGAGTGGGATGAAAAATGATGATTTTTACGGTGTGGGGTGGGGTCTCACCCTTTTCTTCTCTCATAATACAACACTTTGCAGAGCTTTTCCACTTCACTGCTTTCATGGCCCATCACATTTGAATAGCTTGTTATGTCCATAAATTTTCTATCTGATTATGTAACATGTTACTACTCTGTATCGTTTGGATTTATTAGGTGAATTGATTTATAACATACATGTCATATATAAAGGACTTATATAATTATTTGAATTTTATATGTTATATGCATGTTAGACATTTGACCAGTTCCACATGTTGCTAATAATCCCAAACAGAGAATGTTTTCCTTTGTGATGTTGGACAACATAACATTTTTTCTTATAAGTTGCTCAAAGAGATGATTCACTCCCTTCTAGTTATACCTAATGGCATTTAAAAAAAGCATCTCCATACAAATAAAATACACCAAAGAAACTTTAGTTAGATGAGCATGGTGACAAAAAAACAAACATAAAATTGAGACACAAGACTAAAGAGATAGAGAGAAGTCTTTGAATTTTTGTCCTCTGTTTCACACTAAACCTTGAACTAAGAAAACATAGCCGCTCGTACTTCGAGACAAAACACACTACTCTCCACTCTCTCTCTCTTTCTCACTCTTCACTTTCCCTTTTAATCAGGAAAAAGCTCTGTTTTTACTTCTCCTTTCTGTGTTCTTCTTCCACATTACCTTAAAATCTTCGTTTACCTGAAGTTTTCTTGTAAACAAGCAGTCTAATCCAAGTTCAAGGGTTCTCCCAGCTTCAGTGGAAGGTTGAAGTTATGAGCTTTACAAGAAGACATGTGTTCTTTGTTCTCTCTGTTTTAGCTTTGACAATGCCGTTCTCAGCTGGAGTCACCAATCCACGAGATGGTAATAGTCTCTCTTCTCCTTTCTGCAAGTTTCCACTTTTGGTTTTGCTTTGTCTGTTTATATTATTGGTTTATTGAACTCAACACACTAGATTTTGAGTTCTTTTTAGTGAAAGTGACTTGCATCACTGTTAGAGTAAACATTAGCTTTGTCTGCGAGCCTCCAGATTGAAAGATTCTGTTGCTCTGAGTCCAGACTCAAAGAACCCTAAAGTTGACACATTAGGGTTTAGTTCAAGACTAATACTCTTTTGACTTTTTAATATTTTTTTGGAAAATTGATATGTGATGGGGTTGTTTGTTGTTTAACATGTTGCAGTTTCGGCGATTAATAATTTATTTATTACTTTGGGAGCACCATCTCTATCACACTGGCATGCTTTTGGAGGAGACCCTTGTGGAGAAAAGTGGCAAGGTGTGGTCTGTGATTCCTCAAACATCACAGAAATGTATAATACTCTTTCCTTCCAATTCTCTTAACTCTTAATATGTTTTGCTTAAATGTCACCAAAGAAAGAAGCTCTAGTCAAGTCCTGACCAGTGTGATTATTGTTGTTGGCTGCAGAAAGATAAGTGGCATGAAGGTGGGTGGAGGTTTAAGTGATACTTTAGCTGATTTTTCATCAGTCCAAGTGATGTAAACAAAGCTTCTTGTTTTGATTCATCTTCATGTTTCTTTTGACTTTTCATAATACACTTTTTTCCTCTCTTCCTTCAACTAAATGGACAGGGACTTCAGTAACAATCATATCTCAGGGACAATTCCACAGGCTTTGCCTTCAACTATCCGAAACCTGTGCGTTTGAGAACTGACTATTCTTTATGGCAATATACTTGTGATTCAACCGTTTTAAAGACATTCACTCTTGTATGTGATTCATTTTCTTGTGTCAGATCTCTCTCTAGCAATCGTTTCACTGGGAACATTCCCTTTACATTGTCCTTTCTATCCGACTTGTCAGAACTGTAAGCCTTTGTTAAAGAAAAAGTTAATGTTTCTTGCATCCGTATTTGTTTTCTTCGGTTTAATGCAAGACTCTTTCTCTTCAGGTCGTTAGGAAACAATCTTCTATCAGGAGAGATACCTGATTACTTTCAGCAGTTATCAAAGCTGACAAAACTGTATGTTTTCTCCTTTTCTTTACTCTCTCTTCCCAAGGTCTTTCACTTACACGTTTAGTTTCTAATGCAGGGACTTATCTTCCAACGTACTAGAGGGGCGTTTACCTCCCTCCATGGGAGACTTAGCGGCTCTCAAGATACTGTAAGTTGCATAGATTTTTTGAATATGAAAGCCATAAATGCATATTGTTACCATTGCTTGTATATCTAATGTGGTTGGACTGCAGGTACCTGCAGGACAACAAGCTCATTGGAACACTTGATGTTATAGAGGATCTGTTCTTAACCGATTTGTAATCTTCTCTTCTTTATTCTTGACTCTCTAACCATAAAGCCAACTTCAGTAACTTAATATAGTTTATGATATCTTCTTTGGTTCAGGAATGTAGCAAACAACTTATTCTCAGGACCTATACCCCCAAATCTATTAAAAGTTCCTCATTTCAAGTAAGTATACTTACTGATTCTGTTTTGTTTTGTTCTCTAGCCCACTCAAGTTTTATCTTTCATTATAACTGCAGAAAAGATGGAACTCCATTCAATACAACAATTATAACACCGCCTCCACCTGCAGTTGATCCTCCTCCTCCCACTACTCACCATTCTCCTCCTCCTGTTACTCATATCCCTCCTGGTTCCACTGTTCCCCCTGCTCCGTTTTCTCCGTCTGCTCCTTTTGCTCCACTCCGACCACAAACACCACCATCACCACCTTTGGTTTGGTCACCACCTTCTGATAATGGAGGAGGAGGAGATCCCTGGAACTCTGTGTCAGGTCAACCTACCTTGCAAATATCACCTCCTTCAGGTTCAGGGTCAGGAAAGTTCTGGTCCACGCAGAGAATCATTCTAGTGATCTCCTCAGTAGCCATAATAGTTCTTGTCTCCGGGCTATGTGTCACACTTTGGAGATGTTTCAGAAGCAAGAAACATAACCGTTATGGCGCTGTTCAACGACCATACTTTACTAAACCTCCATCTCAACCAGCCCCCATTATGAGAAAAGGTATACACTGATTCTTTTCCTTCCAAGAAGAAGAACCAATACTTGTGTGTTGGCTCATTGGCTTTTCTTTTTGTTTTTACAGTTTCTAGGGAGCCTATGGTTAAGCCATACGATGGATATGGAGCTGGAGACAGATTATACGGCTATCCTACGCCACCAAGGGCTGAAGAGAGCCGGAGAGCAATGCCTCCTACTTCATATTACAATGTTAATAATAATATCCCACAAAAACCGCTGCAACAACCACCGAGGCATTACCAGTCCAATGATGCTACTTCCAAGAGAGCAGCTCATTTCCCTCCAGGCTTGAATACTTCATCTTCCGCTACAGTTTTCACAGTTTCTTCACTTCAGCAATACACAAACAGTTTCTCAGAGGAGCATATAATCGGTGAAGGGTCCCTTGGTAATCTTTACAAAGCCGTGTTTCCTCATGGGAAGGTGTGATAGTTTCCCCTCTTATTGTGCACTTTTATTAACATCTTGAGATCTTATTATAACTCTCTCTGATGTGATATGTAGTTTCTTGCGGTGAGGAAGCTGAGCAATACAATAAACAGAACGCAGAGTGACGGTGACTTCCTCAACCTAGTCTCAAATGTTTTGAAGCTTAAACGTGGGAACATACTGGAGTTTCTTGGTTACTGTAATGAGTATGGTCAAAGGCTGCTTGTGTATGAGTACTGTCCTAATGGATCACTACAAGACGCACTGCATTTGGATCGTAAATTAAACAAGAAACTCACTTGGAATGTGCGTATGAATATCGCTTTAGGAGCTGCCAAGGCACTGCAGTAAGTTAAAACGAACCCCAACCAATCTAATATTAAGAACATATATAGATGACCTTAAGAGTTTTTGGTCTCAGGTTTCTTCACGAGGTATGCCAACCGCCTGTTGTACACCAGAACTTCAAGTCATCCAAGGTTTTACTTGATGGAAAGCTCTCAGTACGTGTTGCAGACAGTGGTTTGGCTTATATGTTACCACCACGTCCAACGAGTCAGGTAATAACATATTTTGAAGATCCCAAATCCTGACATATGAGAGTGAGTTGGTGATGTTTTAGCTTATAAAATTTTGTAGATGGCGGGTTATGCAGCACCTGAGATTGAGTATGGAAGCTATACTTGTCGGAGCGATGTATATAGCCTTGGTGTTGTGATGTTAGAACTGCTAACTGGAAGCAGACCATTTGACAGGTTATAACTAACTCTAAAAGAGACAAGAAAAGATTATGACACTAAAGAGAGCAGCATGTCTCACTTATTTTTTGTGCAGGTCAAGGAGGGGAAATCAGACGCTAGCTCAATGGGCTATACCACGGCTTCATGACATAGATGCGTTGACAAGAATGGTTGATCCATCGTTACATGGAGGATATTCAGTGAAATCATTGTCACGTTTTGCAGATATCATATCACGTTCTCTCCAGGTAACTTAAATTTATCACCATGCTAGGTGAGATAGCAATGTCTAGCAAACAGTTTTTGACTTATTTTTTTGATGTCTATAGATGGAACCAGGATTCAGGCCGCCTGTATCAGAAATTGTCCAAGATCTTCAACGTATGATCTAAGATATCTACAGCCTTTAAGACTAAGACGCAGAAATATATATTTTATTGGGCATCAATCAACACATACTTTTGGTGAATGTAACATATGATGTAACATAATTCTTGTTTTGGTTATATGTCAAACATGTCTTAATTTCTGAAATAATTGATGTGTTTTTTTTTTTGTAATTTATGACACGAAAGAAGGTTGGTTGATTAGGACACAGGAGGGCCCGTTCTTGTGCACGAAAGGAATAAACACCAAACATGGCAAGCACTTATAAATCATGTTGTTGTTGTGCTCATGCTAAAAAAAAAAGAATCAAATTAGTATCTAACAACTAGATTAATCAGAGTTTCTACCAAATAAAATTTCAGTTGAATAGAATATACGCAAATGTTACAGATCATACCAACCAGGAGCGTAAATAGATATGATCGAACTTGGTTATTATAAGAAAAAAATCAATGTTTAAGATGGTATAACATTCAATCTTGAATTAAGGCCCCTTCTCAGATATTCAAATCCAATTAGTTGATGATTAATGACTTAAATCTTAATTAAATTGTGATTGACGTCATTTTGATGCGAGTACGACAAGGAAACTAGGCTTCACGGCCCAATGCTCTGAAGTTTTCAACGTTTTTTTGTATAATCACTCTGACATAATAATATAAAACAAATAATAATGCCAACAAGAATTTTTGTTTTTTAAAAAAATAATGAAAAAGACAGAATCTGAAAAGGTGGGAAGAAGAGTTCTTGGCTTTATCCTTTTCATTTCTATAACTTGTCTCTGTTTTTGGTTCTCCTCGTTCGTTGGTGCCACTCTTTTGAATCTCTAGTTTCTTTTCAAGTACTTGGTTCTTTCTCCGGTTAAACTCTTGTCATGTCGTGACATTTTAAAGATCTATTTAAGAGAATCTCCAGAGAAATGTTCAACTCTGTCTTGTAGTGACTACATTTTGAAATTTTCTCTCTTTGCTTCCCAGTTCCAGGTATCTATTCGTATGATACGACTGAAACAGAGTTGCAACAATGGCGAAGCGTGGATATAAGCTCCGTATCCTTATATTTTATTATTATTATCTGCTTGGAAACTGAATCTGAATACAAAGTAACAAACTATATCTATATTTATTTCATTATTTTCAGCCCCTAGCGTTTGTAATTTTGCAGTGATTATTTTTAAAAATGCAGCTTTAGGGTTTTATCTACATTATGTTCTCTCTTTTTTTTTGGTGTACTGTTATTGACAATCTTAATGAGTTTTTGGGGATTTTCCATGATACAAGAGACATTGTTCATTTGTATTCTCTGTTTGTATAGATATGATTTGTTCTTGTGTTCTTGACTTGATTTGTGTAATAAAAGAGGAGTTCGTGGCACATTCCGCAAATGTGAATTGTCTAAGTATCGGAAAGAAGACATCACGGCTCCTTATAACCGGAGGAGATGACTGCAAGGTCAACCTCTGGTCAATAGGAAAGTCCACCTCTCTTATGGTCTGTCACACATTCATCTCTCTTTTGCAGTTTTTTTCCTCTTTAATAGAACCATAATGCAACTTTCTTTCATGTGTTGTGTGCAGAGTCTTTGTGGACATACAAGCCCTGTTGACTCAGTAGCTTTCAACTCAGAAGAATCTTTAGTCCTCGCTGGAGCTTCTTCCGGTGTGATTAAGCTCTGGAATCTACAAGAAGCAAAGAGTATAAGCTATTATTAGTTGTTAAGTTTCAGGGTGAGGTCTTAATTTTTTTTTAAACTCTTTGTTCTTGAAGTGTAGTGGTTCGAGGTTTTGCTGGACATATATCAGATTGTTCTGCTCTTGAGTTTCATCCATTTGGTCAATACCTTGCATCTGGATCAAGTGACACAAATCTAAAGATTTGGGATATTAGAAAGAAAGGATGCATCCAAACATATAAAGGTCATACTCGTGGCATTAGCACTATCAAGTTTACTCCTGATGGTCGTTGGTTAGTGTCTGGTGGACTTGATAACGTTGTAAAGGTAACAGCAGCAGTATCTCTAAGTGGAGCTTATGCATTGTTTTCATCTTTTTTAGTAAAATGTTATTGTAACATTGTGCACTTTGTTTTATCCAATAGATTTGGGATATAACTGCTGGAAAGCTCCTGCATGAGTTTAAGTTTCATGATGGACCTATCCGTTCTTTAGACTTCCACCCTCTTGAGTTTCTCCTAGCCACTGGTGAGTTCTTGGCTCATTTTAAGAGTCAACTGTTTGAGGTCTTCTGATTTCATTTACTATGTTTTTCACTTCAGGTTCTGCTGACAGGACTGTGAAGTTTTGGGACTTAGAAACGTTTGAATTGATTGGATCTACTAGACCAGAGGTACCTCAGCTTGTGAAATTTGGTTCTACTAGATTTTATCTCTATTGACTTATAACATGACTTGTTGTGGAGATATGGTGTGAAAGAAAACCTCATACATTGACAATATCAGAGAGAGTGCTAAGTAAATCCTCTAAGAGATATGATAATATAGCATCTGATGAAGTACTAATTTATATTTGGATTCACTTTGTAACAAAACTTGTCTTCTTCCTGGCATGTGGTGTCCCTTTGTTCAACAGGCTACTGGAGTTCGCTCAATCGCTTTTCATCCAGACGGACAAACACTTTTCTGTGGATTGGATGATGGCTTGAAGGTTCTTATCATCATTGTGATTAACTATACAGCCTAGATGTTATCCAGAGTCAAAGATTGATATGGTCCTAATGCAGGTTTATTCATGGGAGCCAGTGATATGCCGGGATAGTGTTGATATGGGATGGTCAACCCTTGGTGACTTCTGCATCAATGAAGGAAACTTCGTTGGCTGTTCATATCACCGTAATTCTGTTGGGATTTGGGTCTCAGATTTATCGGTATGTCACACCTATTGCAGTTGTTCATAAAGTTCTGTGAAAGATGAATCTTGAACGTTTTGAAATGGTTTGTTTGTGTTTGTTTGCTCCAGAAAGTTGAGCCGTATGGAGCTGGATCTGAGGAGAAAAATGAATGCATTGTGAAAAGATTCAGTGTCTTGGATGACCAGGTGTCTGAGAGAATGGGGAGTGGCTCAAGGGGGAGTTCATCTCCGGAGTATGAAACAAAAGAGATAAAGAACATATACGTTGACTGTGAGTGAATGTTAACTTTGTTTTCACTTCTGTGTGCTTATAGCTTTGTGTTTGGTCTGATAATAAGAACATAACCTCTCTTCTTTTTAAAGCCATAGGTGGAAACTTGAGTGGTACGCAAAATGCGGGATCTCTGAAAGCGGCTATAATTAGGGCGAGCGAGAAGCAGAATGCAGATGGCAAGTCTTCAAGAACGCATAGTGTTGTGGATAGTGATAGTGGGGAAGAATCTTCTAATTCAAGAAGGGAATCTATCCCTTTCTCAAAAACTAGTCTAAGACCAGCTCATGTAAGAAAAACTCTAGCAAAGTTTGAAGAATCAGTGTCTGTTCAATCTGGAACTCGGAAGAAAAGCGCACAGGATGTTGAAGAGGAGCCACAAACTCGAAATGTTGAAGACTCAACCATCAAGGGAATCATGTACAAGTTTGAAAAAGCTTTATCATCTGAACCACCAACTGATGAAGCCACTCGTAGGTTCCCTGTTCTCAGACATTAGTTAACGCTTTAACTTGCAGATATGTAGTTTATCTTTTTAATATTATCTGCAATCTTGCCTCAGGTCTGCTGCAAAAGCCACCTCGTGTGCAGAGGTCATCATATAACAACTATAGTGAGTCAAGACGAGCACTGTCTGTTGATTCCGCAACTCTCAACGATAGTAAAGGTGGGTTGGAGTGCTCCGAAGACTTGACAACAGGTAGAAACTCATGCAACGAGGACATAAATAACCAGCACATTGCCACCAAATCTGAAAGAGCTCTTGAAAAACATGGTGATGAACAGAAAAGTAAGTTCTTGACTTAACATCAGAACTACTTACTTTCTGGTTATTTTCTTTTGTTATAAAGCTTTTTTGTTGTCTTTGGTTTGTTTTTCCTTTCTGCTTATTGTTTCCCTAAACATTTATGTGGTTTCAGTCAAAGTTGTCTCCGGGAGGACACGCTCATTAGTTGAGAGGTTTGAGAGAGGAGAAAAAATTACACATACCGAAGCAGAGAATACTAACGCAGTGGAGCAAGATCCGCACAAGACATCAAGACAGACAGGTGAAACTCCTGTAGTAGTATCTACACGACGAGCTAGAAGTACTCCAGCTAGAGTGATGCCTATAGTACTCAACCGGGATAGTAGTAACATGAAATCTGATGAGCCTCCTTCAACACAACCAGCTAGAACTTCTTCAGTTCCAGTGATGCCTATAATACTCAACCAGTCTACTAATGATGAGCCTTCTGTAACATCAACACAATCTAGAACCTCTCCATCCCGGACATTACCCTTGTCACTCAGTCAGGCAACAAATATTGTTTTGTCAAGAAGACCACGAAGGGCTTCCTCAGCTCGAGTAAGGCCTATGTTACTCAGTCAGACATCTAATGAGTGTCCTGTAACATCAACACGTTCAGATAGGACATCTCCAGTTCGTGTAATGCCAACAAAACTCAATCAAACCGATGACATGATACTGGATACATCTCAAATGCTGGCTACACCCACTGAGATTGATAATGTGGTTGATATGGATCAGGGTGAGTCACAAACACATGATAGTGACATCACTGAGAATCTAATGCAAACTCATGAGGAGTTTTTAAGTACTCTTCAATCTAGATTGACAAAGTTACAAGTAAGCATTCTTGTCTCTGTTCATTTCTCTGGATACTATTTACTATAGTGTTAAATATGCAAGCGATTGATCTTTTTGCACAAACATGCAGATTGTTAGGCATTTTTGGGAACGTAGCGATGTTAAAGGCGCAATAGGGGCTTTGAGAAAACTGACAGATCAGTCTGTGAGTATCTTAGAATCTTAGTAGACTACCTATTTTATTTGATGGTTGGATATTTAGATTAGCTAACTCATAAACACTGGGACAGGTTCAAGCAGATGTGATCAGTATTCTAACCGACAAGATAGAGATTCTCACATTGGATATGTTCTCTCAGATGATCCCTGTCCTCACAAGCTTATTGGGTAGCAGGACAGAGAGGTAAAAAAGGATCATATGATAAACTCATAACAGTCTTTGTGTTTTATCTCTTGTCTTGTTAAAAATTTGAGATTGTTACATGATTTTTTCAGGCCTGTTAATGTCTCCTTGGACATGCTCTTGAAGCTTGTAGCAGTGTTCGGTACAGTTATACAATCAACTGTCTCAGCTCCACGGATAGTTGGTGTTGATCTTCATGCGGATGAAAGGTACTAGAGTTCAGGCCATTCTCTTGAACCTCAGTTACTTTAATACGTTGTTTTTTTTTCATCTACCAAGAGAAGTAAAAGGAATCACAATGCAGGATACAAATCTGCCAAGTTTGTTCAGCGGGACTACACAAAATTCAAAGGATTCTTCCTATTCTCGCAAGGTAAAACATCTTACTTTCATCATCTCCCTAATGAATCTAACTTTTGAGGTTTATTAAAAATCGGATCATTTGCTTATTTGCTCTTGTTTTTTGGATCTCTTCTTACGTGTAAATACAGAAGAGGCGGTCTATTAACAAGAAAGGCTCAAGAACTGAATCTTGTTCTTCAACAAACATAGCCCCATGCAAAAACAAACAATGGTCATGGAGCTGCTATGCAAGTTCTTGTAACTGTAAACTGCAAAGAAGCATCTTGTGTCTCTCGTATTCCATCTCACAGAACTATTTAATATCTGCGGATTCATATATTAGTGAGAAAGGAATATTTAATATCTAGAAGAAATACTTGGAAACTAATTTGGTATATGGTTGTAAATCTAATCATATTTTTGGCATGAGTAGCTTTAATTCTTGATTTGTTTCTTGTCATCGGTTCTCCATCAAGCGTTCTAATGATTTTACTAGCTAAAACCCATTAAAACCTTGATAAACATCTACACAAATTTTAGTTTCATGAAAAGATTGGCTTTTACTTTGTCTAAGAATTGTTGTTTACAGGATAGCCTGCTACCTCTTATAATCCTTCAAATGATGGCTATACTTTGTGATTGATCAGGTGGTTGATATGGCACTGGATGAGACACTTGTATCACAAACTGAACCACCCGTAATATCTTAAACCAGGTGTCTTGCCACTTGCCAGATAAACACCACTTACGCTTAACATGAAGGCCGTAACATGCAATTGCAATTTGGATGTCATGATTCTTGATGGTGTATGATTAATCTAACACCACTCTAAACCATGCAACAGTAGCAAAAAGACCAGCAGCTTTCACAGTAGTGCCGTATGATGTATAACAACATCATATTTTGATATCTCCTACACATTCTCACTTCTATTAGAACTTCTTCAGTTCCAGTTCTGCCCATAATAATCAATCAGTCTACTAATGATGAGCCTTCTGTAACATCAACACAATCTAGAACCTCTCCATCCCGTACATTGCCTTTGACACTTAATCACACAACATACTGTGAAACCTCTACAAATTAAAAATGTTGGGACTACAACAAAAATATATCTTTTCTTAATTGATAGATATTAATTTATCGATATACTAACTGAACCAAAAACTCAATTTGAGACTATAAAATTATATTATTTTATAGAGATTTTTAGTGTATATTAATTTATAGATTATTAATTTAAAGAGATTATACTATATATTGTTATGTTAAGAAGATCAGGCAGGACTTCCTCAGCTCGAGTAATGCCTATGTCACTGAGTCAAGCAATGACTACGCCATCTCACGAGTATCCTGTAACATCAACACGTCCAGATAGGACTTCTCCAGCTCGTGTAATGCCATCAAAACTCAATCAAACCGATGACATGACATTGGATACCTCTCAAATGCTGGCTACACTCACTGTGACTGATCAGGTGGTTGATATGGCTCAGGATGAGACACATGTATCACAAACTGATAGTGACATCACTGAGAATCTAATGAAAAATCATGATGAGATCTTAAGCATTCAATCTAGATTGACACAATTACAAGTAAGCATTCTTGTTTCTGTTCATTTCTCTTGCTATTATTTATTATAGTGTTAATATGCAAGTGTTTGATTTTTTAACAAACAAGCAGATTGTTAGGCATTTTTGGGAACGTAGTGATGCTAAAGGCGTGATAGAGGCTAAAGCTGACATATCAGTCTGTGGGAATCTCAGACTTGCATACTGGACGCAGACCATTTGACAGGTTTGCATACTCTAAAGAGACAGCATAGAAACCAATGGCCCACTGAGTTAAGACAAATCCCTCTATTTGTGCAGGACAAGGCCAATAGGACATCTTGACATAGATCGTTGACAAGGACGGTTGGTCTGTTACATGGAGCATATCCAAAGAAATCGTTGTCACGTTTTGCAGATATCATATTACATTCTCTCCAGGAGATGCTCTCAATCCTCAACGATACCTTCTAAGGGCTGGCTTGTCCAAGATGCTGAACAACAAAGTTTGATTTTGGAAAAACACCATCATTATGAGAATGTACATGCGGTAGAAAAAAGCAGCTGGCCTAGTCACTTTTTTCCAAATGCAGAAGCCACCAGTTCTTTCTTTTTCCCGTCAATAGTTTAGTGAGTAAAATCAGCTTATGATATATCACAAGTGAACCAAAAAACATAGAACGTTTACCTGAAGTGCTAGCAACGATCTTCTACAGAATCTTTTACCAAGATACGCACCACTCTTATAGGTCGTGTCTGACCAATGCGGTGAACTCAATCAATGGCTTGATCTTCAGTAGTGAGGTTCCACCAAGGGTCCATGATAAGTACCAGCGAAGCTGCAACAAGATTTAGTCCAACGCTGGCAGCCTTTAACGACATTATCATCACTTTAACCTAGTCAAAATAAAAATAGTTAACAAGAATAATAGAGAGGATCAGAAAAACACTAAATTTAAACTTAAGACTAGGTGTTTTGACATAATTTTCTTATGAATACTTTTAGTCTTATTAATCTAAAATCAGCATAAATAATTAGCATAATAAGTTATTATTTACGTTTTAAATAGTTAAATCGAACATTAAAGTAT